GTGCAAAAACGCATGATCGCACGGGCCCGCCTGGTGCGTTCCAGCCTGGGTTGCAATTTGCATATAAGTAAAAACGCATAAAAATGAGGTGGTCTGCACTTTCTGGATGCACCGCAAAAGAGGAGTTCTGGAGCTGAAGGCGGAGATTTTTTGCGACATTGTTCAGAGTCGCCTGTTCATGCAGGAATAGCAGAAAGTAGCCTAGATGGGGTCTGTTGCTATTTATCAGCACAGTGCCTTACAGGCGCTGATGTGGCTTCGTTTCATCGATCAGTTTTGTCCATCAGCACAGTATATCATCAAGATGGATGATGATGTGGTTGGCAATATTTTTGCGCTTCTCCAGTACTTGAAAAAGCGAGTGGATACAGTCAGCTTGCTCGATTCCCAGATGTGTATTTTCTGTCGTGTCATTCGTCACCGTGCTGTAGAAAGGAGGAAAACGCGTAAATGGTAAATCCACCTGTGAATTGCTTCTTCACCCTCCTTCACGCAGTTTATATTTATCTCAGGGCAAAGTCAGAAGTAGCATTTCAAGAAACTTTTGATAGCAGGACGAAATTTTGGCAGTTTTGAAATGGCGCAATGAAAATTACTTTTTTATTGGCAGATTTATTTCACAAATCCCTATCATTGAATAACGAAGTTAAAGAAAGTGCTAGAGACGTTAAAATGCAACTTTCTTGAATAAAAATGCACTTCAGGCTTTTCAGGACTTTCCTCATTGCCTTTTGGTTAAGCCCGCCGCCTTGCGTGCTGATGAAGCAACTGAGCGCACTTCACGAATATACAATCAGAGAGTCTTAAAGAACGCTAAAAATGATTTGTGTTCTTATTTCCGAAGTAAAATAAAATAGTTCTAAAGAATCCTGAAGTGATCTGTGCAGGTACGTAACAATGGAAGAATTGCCAGACAAATATTATTTGAATTACTGCGTGGGTATGGCAATGGTATTCACTGGCGACTTGCCCAGGACGTTGTTGCAAGCTGCTCAGAATGAACGATATTTCTGGGTTTCTTTCTAACTTGTTTTTTAGGCGACTCTCAAATCAGCGCACAGTGACGAATATACCTGCTAACTGCTTCGCTTATATGTTTATTTTGCACAAATTGGTGCTACAAATCTGCGATCATCCCTCTGTAGCTTTTCGCACATCTTCCATTTTTTGATGGCACCCTAAATTCGTGCTTTTACCAGTTTTACCTCTTTACAATTCCCCATACCCCATTCCGACTTCGTCTTTGTTTGTTTATTTTAATAACTTCAAAAAAGTTCTTAACTGTACCTGTTGTGCAGCATTGTCGAAGTGCCAGTTACTCTGAAAGTTTATTGTAACTGTCCTGGAAAATTGATTAGCTTTGGAAGGGCGAATTAGAAAAACATATAATTGATGTGCATTTGTTTTATTTCACTAACACGGTGGCATATTTTGTTCATTCTCAGTGGTGAAAATATTTCGCAGTATTCGCATTATGAAGAAAATTATTACATACTTTCTCAGCGTATGATACATCCCAGTCTCTTAGTATCATAGTTTATAGCCGCCAGTACTGCAAACAAGCGGGCCAACTGTTATCAACGTAGAATAGTAGTTTTCGCGGTACATCATTATCAACAACTGCATTTAGCAGAAGTATCAGCAATTACTGCAAAATTCATTTTGCATCTTCTTGAACATCGGAGCAGTTGTTGCACTTAGGTAGGAGGCAGTGGCAAGTAGAACTGAGCATCTATGAGTTCAAATTTATTACAAGAGGCCTGCTGAAGTGAAAACTTGTAGATAGACGATTACTTCATCAGTGGAATTCTGGCAAAAAAAGCAGACGCCCACCTTATGGATTGGAAACGCAAAGTGATCGTTGATTCAGAAGCAGGCGAAAAAGAACTTATTGACGGAAATATTTTTTTCCGTTTAATGTCAAATATGAGCCAAGGCCAGCAGCTATGGGAAAGAATTCAGCAAGAATATTTCCGACGTCAACTGAATGAATCTCTGCAATCAACAACTATTTCTTGGCACGATCATTATTATATATAGTACAATAGTTTACATCTAATTAGTGAGACATAAATGCTCGCCCTTATGTAGTTATATTTCAGTATTATACAGTTTAGTTCAGGATGTTAGGACTACAGAAACGAGAAGCTTGTTTCGTGAAAGGGCGTCAGAATTATTATCAAGCGGACTACCACTTGAGGGGGCTTCGATCACAGCATTATGAAAAGAGCATCAGACGCTTTGTTAGTGCAAAGATTATGAAACGGGGAAATAGTAACTGAACAAAGTAGCAAGATGCGATCAGAAAGAGATAGTTAACTGTTTTTATGTGTTTTCGTATATATGCAAATGCAAAAACGCATATTGTGACTCATGGTGCGCGTGTGTGTGCATGTTCGCGTGTGTGTGTTTGTGCCTGTCCGAGTATTTAAACTCGGCAACCAGGCAAGCTCTGGCGTCAAAATTTTGCCAGCATGCGCTCCGGCCAACTGTCACCCCAGGACCGCGATAACAATCCTCGCGCATATCTGGGCTTCGCATACGACCACGCGAAAGTTTTGGCAGGAAAACCACTAACCCAGGAACCTAAAAGCTGGTAGACTTGAATTTCCAACGGACGTTTCCCGTCTACGCGGAACTCAAAGGTTTCAAATTCAGCCCCCAGATATGCGTGGTTTCCACGTACAGACCCGGGAAAGAGGCTAACTCGGAGATAAGGAAGGCTGGGAGGCTGAAATTTTTAGGATATGTTCCCCGTCCACTTAAAACTCAAACATTTCAAATTCATTTCCCTCCACTCCCTCCCCCGCTGGCATAGCTGGTTTTCACGTATGGCCCCGCGAGATTTTTTAGCTGAAAAACTGCTAACTCGGGAACCAGGAAAGCTGGAAAATTGAAATTTTAACATGTTGTTCCCTTCCCAAGTGCACGTGGTAGTTAACTTTCTGATGTTTGAGGACCAGTATGTTATAAATTCTAGCAACTTTGACTTTAAGCAATTTTTGCAACAGCAAGAGATACTGCAAAAACGCATGATTGCACGGGCCCGCCCAATGCGCATCGCTAGTTATTTATTCTTAAGACGTTGCAAAATGTATGATAATGTACAGGTTGTAGTAAATCATGTTAAAAACCAGGATTATATGCATGCAATTTTTTAACACGACAAATTTATTTGTGTAATGGTCAAAGGAACCAGGGATATAGTTATTGGCTAAGATTCTATATAAAAGGATGCACTAAGAGTAGAAAAACCCAGGCTGGAACGCACCAGGCTCTCCGGTGCGACCATGCGTTTTTGCACTAAACTTGCAGATCGCTATTAGAAAGAATGATCCCTACGCTTTAGCCTAACACTTGGGTCATATTGGCCGTGCTTTGTTCCTTCCAGGCATGCAGGAGGAAGGGCGTCAGTTGGGATGAAGGTGGTGCATTACAGAGCCGCACGGACATCCAAGCGCATAATTACCGGTTTTTATGCGTTTTTGCCGTGCAGCGCTAGAGCTCTGCAACAGGCAGCAAAAACGCATATTGCAAC